GGACTGAGGAGCATGGTTTTATATTTATACAGGGTGACCAGATGCCCTCCTTTTTGAGGACCTGTCCTCCATTCCAACCTTCTGTCCATGAGGAGTTCCACTATGTCCTCCATTCTGAGCAGGACTAAGCAGCCTGAATTTATATTTATCCAGGGTGACCAGACGTCCTCCTTTTCCAGGATATGTCCTCCATTTCAACCTTCTGTCCAGGAGGAATTCCACAATGTCCTCCATTTTGAGGAGGACTTAAGAAAGATGGATTTATATTCCTATGAGTGTTTATATTTTTAAGCTTCGTTTAGGTCATGTCCTACATTTTTCTCGAAGGTCCTACATTTCACAGTGCCATGCCCACCACTGGGTTTATGAATCTGGTCACCCAGGACCCTCCATTATCCATGCTCAGTTTATCAGGTGCAGAGGGACCTGATGTCCTCATTTTCCCTGGACATGTCCTACGTTTCAACCTTCTGTCCAGAGGAATGCCCAAATGTCTTCCATTTTGAGCAGGACTAAGAAGCATTAATTTATATTTGTATGAGTGTTTTTAGCTTTGATTTGGCCATGTCCTACATTGTCCTTGAATGTCCTATATTTTTGTGTTAGGACATCTGATCACCCTGAACACAGAATTGGAGAGTTGGAAGAGACCCCAAGGGGCCATCCAGTCCAACCCCCTTCTGCCATGCAGGAATACAAAATCAAAGCATCCAAGACAGATGGCCATCCAGCCTCTCTTTAAAAACCTCCAAAGGAGGAGCCATGCCTGCTGGGGATGATGGGAGTTGTAGTCCAAACAGGGTGACCCTGTTGTCCTAACTGCAAAGAAGGACAAGGCACCACAAAATGGAGGGCATGCAATGAAAAAATATGACCAAATAAAAAGCTTAAAAAGCACTCATAGAAATGTAAATCCATGCTGCTTAGTCCTGCTCAAAATGGAGGACATTTTGGAATTCCTCCTGGAGGGAAGGTTGAAATGTAGGATGTGTCCTGGAAAAGAAGGACATCTTGCCCTAACTGCCAAGGAGTACAAGCCACCACAAAATGGGGGGCATTGAAGCAAAATGTAAGACATGACCACATAAAAGCTGAAAACACCCATAGAAATATAAATTCATGCTTCTTAGTCCTGCTCAAAATGGAGGACATTTTGGAATTCCTCCCGGACGAAAGGTTACAATGTAAGACATGTTCTGGAAAAGGAGGACATCTGGTCAACCTGAGTCCAAATGCACCTGGAGGCTTGCCTTCATTCCCCCAGTTTTGTGCTGCTAATGGGATTTAAATTTTATTTCCTAAACTTCAAACAACCTCCCAGGATCCACATGCAGGGGACCAGGCCTCCTCCTTTTCCAGGACATGTCCTACATTTCAACCTCCTGCCCAGGAGGAATTTATTGATTCTATTTATTTCCTTTGTAAGCCACCTTTCTCCCAGAAAGGGACCCCAAGCGGCTCATGGATGAAGACATTTTAAAAACATTACAATTTTAAAAATGTTAAAACAAACTGTTATACATTACGAAATGTCCTCCATTTTGAGCATGACACCACATTTGATAAAGATGTTCAGGGGTAGCAGTGTTAGCCATAGAGCAAAGTACAATCGCAACCAAAATCCACAAAAGAGTGATACCTTTATTTGGCCAACCAAAAGGCACAAAATACATGATGCAAGCGTTCAAAGCTTCACAAAACTTTATCAATGACTTGGATGAAAGAATAGAGGGCACGCTTCTCAAATTTGCAGATGACGCCAAATTAGGAAGAGTAGCTGATACCGCAGAGGACAAGGTCAATATTCAAAATGATCTTTATTGATTAGAAAGCTGGGACAAAACTAACAAAATGAATTTCAGTAGGGAGAAATGTAAGGTGTTGCACCTCGGGTGGAAAAATGAAATGCATAGATATAGGATGGGTCACGGAGTTTATCACACAGAAGGGATCCCGTGCAAAAATGGGATTTAAAACGGGAAAACCCCGCAAAAGCGGATTGATTTTCATACAGCGTTGAGCATTAACCCGGACAGAAAGTGGACAGAAAGTGGAAAAAATCCGCAAAAGCGAATTGGTTTTCTCAGACATTGAGGTTAATGAGCATTAACGCAACATTAACCAGGATAGAAAGTCGACAAATGTGATTCCTTTCACTTTCAGAAAATCCCCAAAGTAAAAAGAAATGCATTTTGTCAACTTTCTGTCTGGGTAAATTGCTCATTAACCCCGATGTGTGTGAAAATCAACCCGATTTTTGGGTGTTTTCCCCCAGGTTTTACATCCCGTTTCTGCATGGTATTTGGGCCCTTTGTCCTGGTGTGATAAACGCCTATATGTGAAAGTGTTCTAGAGGTCTTAGTAGACCACAAGTTGAATATGGGTCAACAGTGTGATGCAGCAGCTAAAAAGGCTAATGTGATTCTAGTCTACATCAATAGAAGTATAGTGTCCAGATCAAGGGAAGTAATAGTTCCACCGTATTCAACTTTGGTCAGGCGTCACCTGGAATATTTTGTCCAGTTCTGGGCACCACAATTGAAAAAAGATATTTATTGAGAAGCTGGAGTGTGTCCAGAGCATGGCGGCCAAAATGGTTAAAGGTCTGGAAACCATGCCTTATGAGGAAAGACTTAAGGAGCTGGGTATGTTTAGTCTGGAGAAGGGAAGGTCAAGAGGTGATATGACAACCCTGTTTAAGTATTTGAAGGGATGTCAGATTGAGGATGGAGCAAGCTTGTTTTCTGCTGCTCCAGAGAATAAAATCTGGAGCAAGGGATTCAAACTACTGGAAAAGAGATTATAATTGGGGGGGGGGGGGGAAGAATACCAAATACCAAATAGTATAGCATGGTATAGTGGTCTCAGTGTTG